CATATTCATCATCCTTTTTTTAAAAAAATTTTTAAATTTATTTATTTTTAGTTTTCAGCATTCACTTCCACAAGATTTTGAGTTCCAAATTTTCTCCCCATCTCATCCCTCCCCTCATCCCAAGATGGAGTGCATTCTGAATACCCCTTTCCCTAATCTGCCCTCCCTTCTACCCCCCGCCCCTTCTTTTATCCTCTTCCTCTTATATTTTCCTATAGGTCAGGATAGATTTCTATCCCCCATTACCTATATATCTTATTCCCCTGTTCATGTGAAAATAATTTTTAACATTTGTTTTTAAAACTTTGGGTTCCAAATTTTCTCCCTTCCTCCCTCCCAACCCATCCTCAATGAGAAGGCAAGCAACTCCATACAGTTTATACATGTGTAGTCATACAAAACACTTCCAGAGTAGTCATGTTTCCCTTCATCTTATCCCAACCCCCATTTATTCTATTCTCTCTTTTGACCCTGTCCCTCCTCAGAAGTGTTTCCTTCTGATTACCCCCTCTCCCAATCTACTCTCCCCTCTATCATTTCCCCCATCACCTTCCCCCACTATTTTCCTGTAGGGTAAGAGAGATTTCCATACCCAATTGAGTGTGTGTGTTATTCCCTCCTTAAGCCAAATCCAATGAGAATAAGATTCACTCATTTCTTCTCACCTTCCCCCACTTCCCCTCCACTGTAAAAGCCTTTTCTTGTCTGTTTTATGTGAGATAATTTACCCTTTCTCCTCCCAGTATAATCTTCTATCATCCCTTCATCTTCAGCTCACTCTGTGCCCTCTATCTATACATATAATTTAATATACATTATATTAATATATTTTATATATACACATAATATAATCCCGGGGCCACGCCGGAACTGGGGTTGGGACCGAGCTTCTCTCTCACCGTGATCACAGACCTTTCCTACTGAGCTTCTAAATTGTCTTTGGCTTTTGTGGGTTGAAAAGTCTGGAAACTGCCATAGTTGCCCATGATTCAGTCCCCTGAGGCCTGCTCCAGGTTTGCTGAGGCCTGGTCTTTGCCTATGCTTGCACCCACGCTGAACTGCGTTCCTCTTCCAGCCCAGCACGATAGACTTTTCCAATCAACCATCCAGGTTGTCTTGGGCTGGCAATTTGTTTCATTTTGTCTTTTTGTGGGTTCTGCTGCTCTAGAATTTGTTTAGAGCCATTTTTTACAGGTATTTGGAGGGGTTTGGAGAGCTCAAGCAAGTCACTGCTTTTATTCCACCATCTTGACTCCGCCCTCCCTCATCCTTTTCATAGGGCAGCATGATCTAGTCACTTCCATCAAAGACAGGAGTTTCATTAATCCTTCCTATTATCATCCCCTTGTTCAATGTCTAGTTGATCGGTATCAGCCCAGGCCCTGAGCTGTTACCGAGTTCCTGGAATACTCTAAATTGGTAGAAGATTCAGAGCCCTAGTCCACAGTTCTTTGGCCAAAAGGCAGAGTCTGCTACTTTAGTGGGGCCAGTTCCTTCTCTGACTCCTCATCCTCCTCCCTTGTCAGGTGGCAGATTCTCCTCCACCCTCCAAACCTCTTTCAGTATTGGGGAGAGGGGGTAGGAGTAGCAGGAGTAGCAGCCCAGCCCGGCCTTCAGCAGTTGTAAAAGGGAAGATTGTGCACCAAAGGAAGAGATGACTGACTTGCTGAATTATGAATGAGACCTCATGAATATTCACCAGAGCACCCCTTCTTCTGAATTCTCAGTAGGTACCATTCTGGGGTTGGGAGAAGGAACCTGGGAGGGCGCAGTCCTTGGTCCTATTTGCAGCCCCTGCCCAGCTTTTTTAGGAGTACTTCACACTGTCCTTCTCTGGGAACCAAAGAGGAAGGGTGAACCTTTGGCCCAGAAATGTTCTCTCCCACGAGGCCTGTTTTTTTTAAAAGCCCTGACCCTTCCTAAACATTTTTCTTAATTAGTTCTTTCCCCCACCTTATCGTTATTTCCTTCAAAGTCCAGCTAAATATAGTAGATGCTCAATAGAGGTTTGAGGCAGGTGCTTCTCTATTTCCCACACCCTCTGGATGAGACCTCACATTGGTTTCTCATCTGTTGGAGTGAGAAGATGTGACCAAGCTTTCTGACAAAAATAGTTTTAGTTTCTCCCAGACTTAAACAGTATAGACAGTATGGCACAGTGGATGGAGTGAGTGGATGAGTCCATTTTCTAGCTGGGTAGGCATGGGCAAGTCTCAGTTTTTGAGAAGCAGCATGGTGTAACGGTGGGTAGGTAGGTGGCACAGTGGGTAGAGTGCCAGGCCTGGAGTCAGGAGGACCTGAATTCAACTAGGCTCAGACACTTACTAGCTGTGTGACTCCAAGCAAGTCACTTAACCCTGTCTGCCTCAGTTTCCTTATCTGTACAATGAGCTAGAGAAGGAAATGCAAACCACTTCAGTATCTTTGCCAAGAAAGCCCAAAATGGGGTTTACAGATGAGGAACTGAGGCAAATAAGGTTAAATGACTTGCCCAGGGTCACACAGCTACTGAGTGTCTAAGATTGGACCTTCTTAAGATGAGTCTTCCTGATTCCAAGCCCAGTATTTAACCTCTGGGCCACTTAGCTATTCACACTGATATACTCTGGCTAAACTCATTCTTGTCAACACACCTCAGCTGGTGATGTGCGTTGGGGAGGCCTTGGTGGGAAATGGGGCTGTGGGTCAGCTGGTAAAATCCAACAAAGTTCTGGTTGATCATTCCATGGCTCATTGATGGCATTATTCTGACCAAATCTAATACCACTGATGACAAGGTGAGTGTTGCCATTTCTATGACATACATCACAAGCAACCTCATTGTTTTTGTTGGGACTGGCCAGCCTTATAGTTACCTGTGTAGCCTTAATGCCAAAGCTGTGGCGCCTGCCCTCATGAAGGCCTAACTTAGTGCAGCCCTCCATACCAAATCACTGCTTTCCCCTGCTCTTTCCACCCCTGTGTCTAGAACGTACTTTGGAGGATGAGATCAGTTTGTCCTGAATGTACATCAAATAGGGAATAAAGGGAGTTCCAGGGGCTAGCAATTTTCCCAAAACCTTGTCCCTGCCAGCCTCCCCACCCCACCTAGAATCTCCATCTGCAAGGAGGGCCCAATCATGTTTCAATCACTGCGTGTTGTCCCTGAGAGCATTCCTGTGGTCCTCCCCCATTCAACTCAGGGGTCCCCTTCACTCTGCTTGTACCATACCGTCTCATTACAGCTTTGACCAATGGTGACCAAACACCAGTTTTCTATTTGTTCACACTGTGAGTGTAGTCCAAGGGACCTTTGTGCCTAATAAGCAGCTTCAGATCCAAGCTTGATTTGGGTACTGCCACCAAAGCGGCCCTAACCCTTGATTTGACACAAATCACTGGGACATACATGGCTTTCATTTCCCACCTATGTGCTGCGGCACAGGAGAGAATCCACCTCAGTCAGTGTATGACATATTCCTAATTGCTAATTCTGACAACTGTAGCTCACCCATCACTTTAAAACACACAACTAGGCCAGGGTGACCAGTTACAAGTGAATTGGCAGAGGTAAGGCCCTGCTTCCTTCAGAGCTAAATTTCCGGAACAAGTGGAGCTGAGCTGCAGGGTGCATTGGGTTTGTCCGCTTTTTAACATGCCCTTCCAGTTCTTCCCTAGAGTTCATTTGTGAACTTTGCATGTTGCCCTTCCCAGGAGTCCTGCTGCAAAGGCATCCTTTCCCTCTTCCCAGCAGATCCTGTTAAGGCTTCCTTATCCCTACCCTCTCCAGAGTGCCTGGTATACAAGTGCTACATTGAAGAACACAAACTCTCGTTAAGATTTGTCTCGTAGCTTGGTATTGCAGATGTACTATTAGTGCAGTAAGGTAAAGGCTGTCTGTCCAGAGAGATACATAATTATACGAAAATAAATTTCATAAATGATGCTGCTTAAAAAAAGAAAAGAGTACATTGGTATAGCTTTCCTTACCGCTCAGAGCTTTTATTTTTGCATCTATTCCTCAAAATATTTTTCTTATTTCTCAAGGAATCCTCTGGGAGTTAGTATCACCCCCATTTTACAGATGAGTTAACTGAGAAGTAAAGTGATTTTCCCAATACAGTAAAGTTATCTGTGCATAAGTCTAGAACCCACGTATCTCTTGATTTCCAGTGGGCTGTTCTTTATCAGTTAATATGCCTATGGGATGAACTGATAAAGTTAAGACAGACTCTTTGCTACTATAGGGTTGGATAAAAAAGAGTCCCAACAAAGGTCACTACATAAATTGTTGGGTTTTAATGGTAACTATTAGGGAGGCCCTATAAACTCATACTATCTTGAACACTGGCAGTAAATGGTGGATATGGGTCTTCCTGCAACTTCAAAACCAAATTATTTCATTAAATTGTTTCTCCCAGGGGCTATCGGAACCTCACAAATTGATCACTTCTTCTCTTTTATAAGTTCCGGTCCTCAGTTTTGTGCCATGCTGCTCCAAATGCACTAAATATCCATCAATTCAGAATCCGGCACTTTTTACAGACGAGGGAAAAACTAAAATCTCTTTTGTGCTGCTTCAATGAATAAATGCCTGACTAAGTAAATTAACACGGCCAACAAAATTACAGAACTATTGAACCCATTTAAGAGAATGTCTCAAGCACCCATCTTACACAATTAACACATGAACACATCCCTCATCTATTCATTAAAGCAGATCTTTTAAGAAGCTCTACCAAGAGAGCTCTGGTTTCTTCATGTGTTTGAAATGGGAAGACTTCATTTATGTAAAATTGAAAAAAATTCTGCAATTCAGACTTGTCACGAGTTCAAACTGACCTTGCCCCTTGATATAGACGGAGTTCTAGTAAGTGAGGTCAGACCAGGTCAGTCTGATGAAGGAGACTGAGCACTCCCAAGGATTGGTTGTACTCCATGTGTTCCACGGTCCTCTCAAGCCAGGTGCCTGACGGGTAGGAGTAGTCACATCGGTTCAGAAGGGAACTGAGTCTTGTCAATGCAGGTTAAACCACAAAAATCTTTTATTATGCACAAAACCCCAAAGGCTTTAATTACATACTTACACATATATTAATTCATTTGGCAGATCTTATTATTTATTTTTAGAGAAAACAAAATGTACCTCCAGGATTGGGAATGGCCCACTTACAACACAACCAACGCAGATGTAAAAAATAAATAAGCTTACACATTCAAGTATATGGTCATTACTAATGTTTTGCTCTTTTTTTTATTATACTTTTCCCTTTTTTTTTTTTGAAAGCCAGACTCTCTAGTTCCACTTCTTTTTTGCTTAGGTGGAGCTATGTCCTACTTTGGCCCAGACTCTTACTTTTTGTCCTTTGGCCCCTGGAAAAAGGTTCCTTTTCATTCATGGTTTGATTGCAAATAAGTCAGGCCCAGTCTTAGGTATCACCTGAACTTATTCTCTTGGGCCCAGGATAGCAGAGAAGGGAATGGACTGTCAATCAGCAAACATGGGTTCAAACTCTGTTACAAACTTGCTGAATGACCTTAGGCCATTTTCTTTTAATTCTGCCATTTTGGGGCCTAATCAACTTCCCAGGGCTTTTATGAGAATCAGATAACACAATGGTTGTGAAAATGATGGTTTACCATCTTTATTGTTACTACATCTCTTTAGGATAAGACAGAAGCCCATCTAACTGTTCATCTAGGACCTTGAGATGAAACTAGAAAAACAAAGACAGATAGTGTTCTGTCAGCTTTGTGAGAGAAGCAAAGTGCTTTCCTCTTCTGTCTCATTTTCTCATCTCTCCAAGCTTTGAATAGTAGGATGTGGCCTAAGAGATTGAAACCGAGAGGGGTAGGTGTGGGTAGGAGTGGAGTGTGGTGAAGAGAAATAGAGCAAGGGAAATCTTGACCCTGAGCTCCATCTCCCACAATGGCTCTAAACCAGATTTCTTATTCCCAGTGTGGAGACCCTATTTCTAGGCCACTGCCCTTCTAAGAACCACATATCTCAGTCACTGGGAAGATCTCTGCAAGTCAGCTGAGGAAAGCCCATTCTAGCCTTTCCCAACTGGTCCAGGGCAGCTAGAGCCAGTCAGCTGCTTTTGGAAAAATCCTGTGTGAATTTTTGTTTTATAGAATCTGTGTGTCAATGGCCTAAGGTGAACACTCCCGCTGGGAGCCAAGCAGTGGGAGGGGCTATTTGTTTAAAAAAAAAAAAAAGGTCTGGAGCATAAGGAACTGGCCTTGGCCAATAACAAATTGCAGCTGTTCTTATCTCTGTCAAAATCCCAAACTGTCCGCTTGAAGAGCATGTGGGAAGGTTCAGGGTCACAAGTCAACTCCTATTCCTATGACTCCAAATCATCCTCCCTCTATTTCTACCCAACAGTTTTCCTCTTGGGATTTAGCTGAAGGGAAAATTGACTCATGGTTTTCGTGTTGTTGTTGTTTTTTTTTTTAAGCTGGTAGGATGAAGAGCTTCTATGCTTACCCCCAAGTCAACCAAGGGTGAAAATTAGAATGCCCTTTAAAAATTACAGGAATGGAGACACAGAGGATGAGCACATTTCAGTTCATTTCCTGGCTCCCCATTCTTCCTTCCTTCCTTGACCTTACTGATTTAGGTAGAGTGGAGGGCCAGGGTTGCTGTGGGAGAACTAAGTTAACCCAGCCTAAATTCACCTTCCTAGAGGATCTGGGAGCTCAGGGCAGAGGGGGTGGAGACTCAGTCTGGTTCAGACCTGCCAGCAGCCTTGTAAGCCCAAGTTCATGGTTAGTCTTCTGCTCCCCAACTAGACCTTCCAAGAGTTTGGGCAACAGATGAATATCTTTTAAAGTCAGAGGAACCCACAAACACCAGGGGTAATGGATAAACAAAGTACCAGCTGCATTTGCATTCCTGGGCTTTGAAAACAGTGCCTGGATTTATCACAGTCCAGTGTTTAAACTGGATGGATGTTGATGCAGACTCCTTTTCCAAGCTTAAAAAAAAAAAATCGAAGCCAGAAGCAGCCCTTCCTCCAGCAATGCCTTCATGTTCCACTCTTGCTTCAGGAGCTGAAGAAGTAAGCCCTTACAGGTCCCGGCTGGCTGGACCACTCAGCTCCACACTCCTGGGGAAGAACACTCAGGGGCAGTGGGTAAGGAAGCAGTCCTGACCAGTGCTAGGACAGCGGACCCTAGCTGGTGGAAGGAGACTCATGAAGGCATCCTAATAACCTGGAAAGCCATGGTGCACTGGTCTTTGCCTCCTGCCCCCATGACTGTCACATGACGCTTACCCAAGCCCTATCAATCCCTATCCTACCACCCATTTAGGGGTTTACAGTTCTATGACTGAACTGGCAGTATTGCTAGGCTGCTGGTGGGGATGTCTCTCCTCTGTCCCCATCTTTTCCTGTCCACTATCTTGGCAATACCAATAATGCCCTATTGGTGGGGGACCCTCTTTTTGCTGCTCTTGGCTCCTGGGGAGTTCAAATGGATGCTGGGAAAACTGACAACCAGAGAAGAGATAGGAGGAAGGACTTCAGGCTTGAAGCTGCTTAGTCCTTTGGCTAATGGACCTTTAGCCAATGACCCTCAGTGGGTATACACCTAGCACATGGACTATGAACTGGACAGAAATGTCTTCCACACCTTAGTCCTGCGGCTGCTTGGGAGAAGATTTTTGTTATGATACGGGAATCCTCTGGTGAATCTCTACTGCTGGCATGCCTGGTGGGTTCACACTTAGGGACAGGAGGGGAACCTGGTGAGCTGAGGGGCACAGATGGCTCAGAGGGGGCTGCTACTATATTGCACTTTGTCAGGTTTCTGGTCTCGGTGGGATGTTTGGAGGTTGGGCTGAGGGGACGGGGGACAAAAGGGGATTAGCTGGGCAGAGAGCTAGGACCAGCTTGGCTGCTCTGTCAAGGAAGCTTCTGCCTGCCTTTTGCTACTCATATACCAGGTCAGGGAAAGCAGCAGGGACGGGGCCATCTGCACAGGAAGGGGTCCATCCTTCACCATACTTAGTCTGGGATTTCTGGGCTCACCAGGGTGAAGGAGGGGACCAGTCACTCTCTTGTAAGATTCTAGCATGTGCTGTTTCCCAAGACATCTACACTTGACCCCGGAAAATGCCCTCTGAGGCTCTGGTAAGAAGAGCCAGCTGTTCACATCTATTTGGGTTTCCAGTGACTAGCCATGACCTTGTCAAGCTCAGCCACATGTCCACTGGGGTTTCTTGGTCTCTCCTGGGACGTGAGATCTGCACATGGTTGGTGGTTTCCCCTAGTGCCTGGAGACAGGTGGAAGGAAGTAAGAAGGTCTCTCTTTCCCCAGATCCCAGGTGAGGGCTCAGGGACGCACAGGTGTGTTCCAGCGGCACCTGTCCTGGGGTGTCCTCCGGTGGAGGGCCTTAGCTGGCGCTGGGCCGGCATTGCTGTGGGGCATCTGACCGCGTGCTGGCCACCTCCTCCTCTTGGCCGGAGGCCAGATCCACTCGCTGCTCATCCATCCGCTTGGCCTGCACCCTCTGTATGAGGCTGAAGAAGTCTTCATCCGGCATGGTGGGGCCACGGGGCACTGTGTCAGGTGGGGCGCAGCGCTGGTCGTCTATTCTGGAGGACTGTACCGAAGCAAGGAAACAGAGGCACGGTTAAAGACACTGCTCACCCGGGCACACACACTTTACACTCGGGCGGCTGCTGGTGAAACTCGGGCTTTTTTTTGTTTGTTTCTGGAGTCCAGGGCTCCTCTTCTTTTTGTACCATACAGATGACTAATACTCAGTAATAACCGTCCCTAGCAGAATTCTCTCTGAGGCTGACCTTTGAGCACATGTACATTTACACTGAGTCATGAATGTAGAGAAAACACAGAGCAAGGTAGCGGGTGCTTCACGGATTGACCAGCTTTCCTGCCCTTCTTCTCACGTGAAAGAACGGCAAGAACATTCATATTCCTCCCAGGAGGTGACTTGGATTCAAGTTGTGGGCAATCTAACACTTAATTTAATTTCATGTTTAAATATTATTCCCAGTTGAGGAAACTGAGGTAGACAGAAGTTAAGTAACTTGCCCAGGGTCACACAGCCAGTAAGTGTCTAAGGCTGGATTTGAATTCAGGTCTTTCTGACTCCAGGCCCAGTGCCCTACACACTGTGCCACCTCTCTGCCACATAGTTGGTGCTTAATATTTAATTGTTTATTAACTTAATATTTAATTTTGATTTAATTTAAATTTAATATTTAATATGTGGTCTTCATCAGGAGAGGAAACATCAGGAACCAATCTTGAATTATGGTTCTGGACCCCAGTGGTCACTCATTCTGCTTCTCTTTTTGGCTATTATGAAGCTGGGGTCACGAAAACAAAACAAAACAAAACTACTGTCCACAGTTTGGGCTGGGTTCCCCTGATAGGTTCAGGTCTTTGTTGAGCCCCACCCTCCCTATCAAAATTCACCCTTCCATTTCCCATTCCCCTTAGAAACCTTGCTCTCTGCTAGGTGACTGTCAACCAATCTGACAATAATGGCAACAACTACTAACATATATATAGCATGATACAGATTTACAAAGCCCTTTCTTTATAAGTATAAGGTATTTTAATTATTGCAATCTGTTCTAATTAGATTGTCATTTATACAATAGGGTTCTATGTCCCTTATCTTCTTGTGCCAAAATTGCAATACTCCAAATTTTGTAGCTCAGCATGAGAAGGGCAGTCAATTCATGGACCATTGTGGGCAGAAAACAATAGGAACTGTTTTTAGACTCTAGAAGGCATAAGAGCTAGTCCTGAGCAAAACTGTGAAGTCAACTAAGTTCATCTTTGGTACTTTCCACCTCTTGTTTTGGGACTCCTCCCACACCGATGCTCCTGTCTCCTCCTTCCCCTCCCCAGAACCTACATGCCTATGTGCCTTTTGCCAGGTTTTACTGTCTCATATCTATCAGGTCGAAATTCCTCCTAAGGAATTAATTAAATTAGTGGCTCATAATGATGGATGGTATTACCCTTCCCTGGGGAAGTTTTTACCAGATATGCCTAAACACTTTCAATACTTAGTAAAAAAGAATCTCTTAATGGTAGAACTTTAGGAACCCAGAGGTGGGTGGGTAGGTTGGTCTTCCCCTCCTTTGTGTGTCCTTTCAATCACCAGGGCCAGTGAGGTTTGTTACTCTTTTAACTGGATCAGTCATCTTACACAATTAGGAGTACCTGGGCATTCTCAAAAACATCCTTCCATAGAGTCACCAGAGGGGGTGCAGCCAATATAAACTATATCACCAGAGCTAAAATTCCCCACAAGCTACATTACCCATAATAGGGCTGTTTGAGCATGTAACGTCATAACTGGAGAGCAGCTAGACAGTGAGAGAAATAAACACCGAGAGAAGAATGGAGCCAGGGTTTCAGGAAGAGAACTCCTCATTTGTCTAACCCCATTTATCCGGTTTGAAAGAGCTGCATCAGGGGCAGGATTGATGGTGTTTTATCCCAGAGCCCGGACCTGGCTGGAGATGAGGGGCTTTGCTTGTCCTCTGGGCTTAGCGTGGCTCTCCCTAAGCATAATTTATGGACAGCTCCCGCCCTGGGGCCTCCCCGAGCCTCAGTGTAAATTGTCCATGATGGAAAAGGGTAGTGCTTACTTACTTCACTGACAGCCAAGTGTGAGGGGGATCACCCCAAAGCTACATTGCACACCAGACTTGGGTCCAAGGACATTCAAGGGACCAGGGTTCTAGTCCTGACTAAACTAACTTACTGCCCCTATCTTAATGTACAACTTTGAAAATGAGGTAGTGTGGTTCAGTGGATGGAGTGGTGTCAAGCAAACAGAAATGGAGGCCCATAACCCTTGCATAAGGATCCCAGGGGGCCGCATAATGACTTAGTATGATGAGGAAAATTTAATTAGGCAGTGTTTACATATATAGATTTCATGATTCGATACATCTGAGGTGGGGTTTCTTTGTTTCTAGAATTTTTTTTCCTATGTTTTTCTTCCTTTTTTTTTCCCCTGAATTAAGTTTGGGCCACAGGGGTTCCTCTGTTGGCTTGCTGAAACTTGTATTTTGTTGGTTTGTTTATTTTCTGTTGAAATGAACGAATTCTGTGCCTGGTGGAACATAGCCCTGCCCTCCATCATTGCCAGCTTAAGCCAGCAGACCCTGCGATGTCACAATCTTTTTCAGAAAGCCAAACAGAGTAGAACCTTCCTTTCTTTCCCCTTTCTCTTCCTTCTAGGTCTAAACCTATGATTCCCGTCTCTGCAGCTGCTCTTTCCTGGTTTCTGCTGTTCTCCTTGCCTGGGACAGCGTTCTTCTTCCTCCCTCTCCAACCATCCAAATCCTACCTAATTGAACCACATAAGGGGAAACACTGTGGCTTACTTGTCTTTGTATCTTCTACTGCATCTAATATGGGGGCTAAGCACATAGAAGGCACTCAGGAAAAATTTGCTTCTGCTCCAATGAAGCCTGCCTTGACTCTTCTAACCCACAATAATCCTGTTCCCTGAGCTCTTAAGGAAGTTTGGCAAATGATTATGGACTATCTTTATTGCTCTCTGATTATACTAAGTAGGTTAACTTTATCTTTCCTAGGGAGACTGCAAATTTCATAGGGGCAGGAATTTTAATATACCTGGAACCATTTGCTCCTCTGAGTTCCTAAAGCATTTATTGCTTCTATTTATCCTAGCAGATCTTTTTGCTCTGTGGCTTTTCAGAGAACAGGCTAGGACAAGGCCGTCTCTCTGTGGACTTGCTGGGATTTGGACTTGGGGTTTTTAGCACAGCCTGCCTTGTAGTCTCTCCTGTCCCCTTGGCCCGTCTTTCTAATTTTCTGTGTGTGTGTCTCATCTCCCCAATGAGACTATGAGTTCCACAAGGGGAAGGACTGTGTCTCCTCTTTCTCTGTCTTCCCCAAAATGTAACTTGTTGCTGAACCAAGAACACAGTAGGTGCTAGTAAATGCTTGTTGAATGGGTAAACTGCCAAGTTCCTTGCTTTCTCTGGGCCTCAATTTCCTCCTCTACAAAATGATGTGGTTGGACTAGAATCAGGGATTTAACCTGGGGTTCATGAACTTTTAAAAAATATATTTTTATAACCATATTTTGGTGTACCTTGTTTCCTTTGTAATACCACGTGTTTTATTTTATGCATTTAAAACCATTCTGAGAAAGGGTCCACCATAGACCTCACTGAAGTGCCAAAGGGGTCCATGTCACACACAAAAAAGCTAAGAACACCTGAACTAGATGGTTTCTAAGGTCCCTTCCAATTCTAAGTTCTTATTTTCCTGTGACGCAGAATGGATTAATCCACGAGGGCTATGGAGACCATTTTTTCTAAACACACAGTCAGACAAGGATATTCCTTTCTCAAAGCCTCATAAAAGTACCCTTTCTTTTCTAGAAATCAGAACAATCCTGGGAAGTTAAGAATGCATGACTATTGCTCCCATAACATACTCCATATTTAAAATGAGAAAGTGAGATTGAATGACCTCTAAAATCACTTTCTGCCTTGATGATCCATAGGATGGCAAGCCACACTACCCATAATAGGGCTGTTTCCATTTTAAGCATGTAATGTCATAACTGGAGATGGTCCATGGGACCATAGAAAAGGATTTTAAAGGTCATCCAGTCCCACTTTCTCATTTTAAATAGAGTAGAACTGATGCTGAGAAGGGTAAAGACTTACTCAAGGTCATGTAACTAGTAGCAAAGATATTGCCTAAATGCTTACTGAATGATTTGCCTCCCATATCTTTATCTTGCCTACCCTGTTCTCTGCTTATTCAAGATCCTCTAGACAATGTACACTGGCTGGTGTGAATGAGTCCCTTTATCCAAGACCTATGGGATAAGAGGGAAGAGGGAGAAGTAGGGCACAGGGTTCTTCCAGCTAGCTTCCAGGACCTCTTTATACTGCTGCATAGTACAGGAGAGTATTAGAACTGGAACTGGGGGACCCAAATATGAATCTCATGAAGCTAGTGGTGCAGTAGATTAAGCACTGGAGTCAGAAAGATCTGAGTTCAGATCCGACCATCAGAGACTTATTAGTTGTTTGACCCCAGGCAAGTCACGTAACTGCAGTTTCCTTATCTTTCAGATGAGTAAGTATCAGACTAGATCAATGGGCTCATAACCTGCAGTCCATGAACTTGCTGTTTAAATGTTTTTTTAAAATTGTATTTCAGTATAATTGGTGTCCTTTTGTAGTTCTACACATTTAAAAATGTTATTCTGGAGGGCAGAGCCAAGATGTCAGAGAAAAGGCAGGGACTTGCATGAGCTCTCCCAAATTCCCCTCCAAAGAACTTTAAAATCTTTAAAATGAATTCTAGAGCAGCAGAACCAACAAAAGGATGGGGTGAAATAATTTTCCAGTCCAAGACAACCTAGAAGGTTGGCAGGAAAGGTCTGTTACATAGTTGTAAGAGTGGAGTCCAGTGCATGGAACGCCCTGACAAGCCAGCAGCAGGCCTGGGGGGCAAATGAATCAGGAATGGTACCTTCCAAAGCTCTTAGACCACAGATAGTAGGGGGATTGGACAACTGATCAGAAGAAGATTACAGGGGTTCCTTTGCTGGCACTGGGTGCAGGACTCCATTGCATTGCCCATATATGGACCTGGGTCACAGTCTCAGAGTGAGAAGGAGCACTAGCGCACCAGAGTTTTTGACCACAAGGAAGAAGAGACCTGTTCATACTTCCAGGGTAGAAAAGAGAGCATGTGGTCACTCATAGACCAGAGCAGAGGCCAGGAGAGGAGTAAACACACCTCTCCTTAAATCATATCCTCTTGGAAGAACTGAAAACTTATAAACATCCATCATTAGCTCTGAAGACAGCTGCACAAAAAACCTAAAGCTTGGGACAGTAGTCCCTCCACCCAAGGGGAAGAACCCAACTTTAACATAAAGTTAAAAGTCAAGAAATTGGCTGGGAAAATGAGCAAACAAGAAAAAAAGAATCTGACAACAGAAAGTTACTATGGTGACAGGGAAGAGCAAAATACGAAGTCAGAAGATGACAACAAAGTAAAAACTGCTACAATATAGAGCCTCAAAGAAAAGTGTGAACTGTCTCAGGCCCAAAAAGAATTCCTAGAAGAGCTGAAAAGGGATTTTATAACTCAAATAAGGAGGTAGAGGAAAAACTGGGAAAAGAAATAAGAGTGATACAAGAAAGTAATAAAAAAAAAGAGTCAACAGGTTGGTAAAGGAGGCACAAAAAATGCTGAAGAAAACACTTTAAAAAATAGAATAGGCCAAATAGTAAAAGAGACACAAAAATTCAAAGAAGAGAACTCCTTAAAAAGCAAAATTGGCCACGTGGAAAATGAGGTACAAAAGCTCATTGAGGAAAATAATTTCTTAAAAATTAGAATTGGGCAAGTGGAAGCTAATGACTCCATGAGACATCAAGAAACAATAAAACAAAATCACAAGAACGAAAAAAAATATAAAAGAAAATGTGAAATATCTCATTGGAAAAAAGAACTGACTTGTAAAATAGATCAAGGAGAGATAACAGAAAGCCATGGTCAAAGAAAGAGCCTAGACACTGTCTTTCAAGAAATTATCAAAGAAAACTGCCCTGATATTCTAGAACAAGACTGTAAAATAGAAATGGAAAAAATCCACTGATCACCCTCTGAAAGACATCCCAAAATGAAAACTCCCAGGAATATTACAGCTAAATTCCAGAGCTCCCAGATTGAAGAAAAAATATTACAAGCAGCTTAAAAGAAACAATTCAAATATTGTGGGGCCACAGACAGGTTAATACAATATTTAGCAGCTTCCACATGAAAGAATTAGAGAGCTTAAAATATGATATTCCAGGGAGCAAAGAATCTAGGACTACAACCAGGAATCACCTACCCAGCAAAACTGAGTATAATCCCTTAGGGGGGAAAAATAGACATTCAATGAACTGGAAGACTTTCAAACATTCCTGATGAAAAGACCAAAGCTGAATAGAAAATCTGACTTTCAAGTACAAGACTCAAGAGAAGCATAAAAAAGTAATCAGGATAAAGAAATCACAAGGAATACAATATAAGGCTAAACTATTTATATTTCTACATGGGAAGATGATACTTACAGTTCCTAAGAACTTTATCATTATTAGGGCAGTTAAAAGGAGTATACATAGACAGAAGGCACAGATGTGAATTGAATATGAGATGATAGCTAAAAAACTAAAATTAAGGTGTGAGAAAGAAGAATGTAGTGGGTGAAGAGGGAAGGGAGAGGTAGAATAGGGTAAATTATCTCACATAAAAGAGGCATGAAAAGCTTCTACAGTGGAGGAGAAGATGGAGGAGGTAGGGGGGAGGAGAGACACTTGAAGCTTATTCTCACTGGAATTGGCTCAAAGAGGGAATAACACACATGCTCAGTTGGGTATAGAAATCTATCTTACCATATAGGAAAGTAGGAAGGGAAAGGGATAAGAGAAGGGGAAGACTGAGAGAAGGGAGGGTGGGTTGGGAAAGTGCTAGTCGAAGCAAAACACTTTTGAAGATAGAGTGAAAGCAGAGAGAGAGTAGGAAAAACAGGGGCAGGGAACAGGATGGAGTGAAATACACAGTAATCATAATTGTGGAAAAAATTTTACAGCAAGTTTCTCTGATAAATGCCTCACTTCTCAAATATATAGAGAATGGAGTCAAATTTAAAATAACACAAATCTTAGCACTGGCCCTGGAGTCAGGAGGACCTGAGTTCAAATCCAGCCTCCAACACATAACAATCACTAGCTGTGTGACTCTGGACAAGTCACTTAACCTCAACTGCCTCACACATACAAAACAAACAAACAAACAAACATACACAAGGAAAAGAATACAAGTCTTTCCCCAAGTGATAAATGGTCAAAGGATATGAACAGAAAGTTTGTAGATGAAGTAATCAAAGCTATTTATAGTCATATGAAAAATGCTCTAAATCACTATTATCAGAGAAATGCAAATTAAAACAACTCTGAGGTACCACCCCATACCTATCATATTGGTTAATATGACAGAAAAGGAACATGACAAATGTTGAAGGGGATGTGGGAAAATTGAGACACCAATGCACTGTTAGTAGAGTCGTGAACTGATTCAACCATTCTGAAGTATTTGGAACTATGCCCAAAGGGCACATACTCTTTGAGCCAGCAATACCACTACTAGGTCTGTATCCCAAAGATTGGGGAAAAAAAAAAAGGAAAAGGACCTATATGTACAAAAATATAGTAGTTCTTTTTGTGGTGGCAAAGAATTGGAAATTGAAGGGATGCTCATCAATTGGGAAATGGTTGAACAAGTTGTGGTATGGTATATGATTATGATGGAATACTATTGTGCTATAAGAAATGATGAGCAGGTGGACTTCAGAAAAACCTGGAAGACTTACACGAACTGATGCAACATGAAGTGAGCAAGACCAGGAAAACATTATACACAGTAACAGCAATATTGTATGGTGATCAATTGTGAATGACTTAGCTATTCTCAGCAATAAAATGATCTAAGACAATTCTGAAGGCCTTATGAAAAATGCTATCCACCTCCAGAGAAAGAACTGATGGTGACTGAGTGTAGATTGAAGCATACTTTTTGTTTTCCTTTCTTTCTTTCTTTTGTTTATTTGTGTGGTGTGTGTGTGTGTGTGTGTTGTTTTTTTTTTTTGTGAGGCAATCAGGGTTAAATGACTTGCCCAGAGTCACACAGCTAGTTAAGTGTCAAGTGTCTGAGGCCAGATTTGAACTCAGGTCCTCCTGACTCCAAGGCCAGAGCTCTACCCACTGTACCACCTAGCTGCCTCTTGTGGTTTTTTTTTTGTGAGATAGCTAATACGGAAATATGTTTTGCATGGCTGCACATGTATAACCTATATCAAATTGCTTGCCTTTTTAAGGAGGGGAGAGAAAAGGGAGGGAGGGAGAAAATTTAGAACTCAAAATTAAAAAAAAACTAATGTTAAAGAATTATTTTTACATGTAATTGGAAAAAAAACTATTAATTTAAAAATAATTAAATAAAAATGTTATTTCCAGAGGGGCAAGTATGTTTTTCTGAATAGCCAAAGGGATCTATGACACAGAAAAAGTTGAGAGTCCCTGGCCTAGATGATCTCTAAAGTCCTTTTGGTTTCTAAATCTATATATTATCTTATGATCCTACCTGGCACTTGATAAGCATGTTGAAGAATTCATCTCCGGGCTCCTGAGCATCCCCCTCCCCACGAAGGTGGCCCAAGTTGTTATGGGTGATCCGAAGGCCTGGCAGGCTGCCCACACTGGCACGCTGGTCATCCAGGCGACGGCTCTGGGAGCTGGCAATGAGGTCAAAGAACTCCTCTGTCTGAGGGGAGGCCATCAGGGATGACTGAGCTGGTGGAGAGATACAACTGTAAGAAGTGAATGAAGCAGGGAAGGCCCCATCCTGGCTGGACTCTTCCTGGAGCTTCCAACTCTAAACTTTTCTCAAGTATTTTTGTATTCTTGGCCTCATTTGGAGTCACGAGAACCTTCTGAAGTAGGCAGGGCAAAGATCACTGTCTCAATTTTACAGACTGGGAAACTGAGAACCAGAGAGGAGGAGAGGCTTGCTCAAATCAGTAGAAGAGTTGGGACTATGATCTAGGTTTCCTGAATCCCGGCCAAATGTTGTTCCCATTATGTCATCCAAAAAGGCTTAGTTTTAGGGAAATCTAGATAGCACAAGATTATTTGCCAAATAGGCATTATCCCATCACCCCACTGATATCTCGACTCTCCCAGGATCAGTGCCTCTGCCACAGACAGGGCCCAGGCAGGTGCCAGGCGTCTCACCCTGGTATCTCTTCTGAACTCAGTCAATCTTCTTGTCTCTGTCATATTGACTCTACTCCCCACAGGAGTTTCAGGATTGGAACCCAGGGGGCTGGGTTCAAAGGCCTCTTTGAGACAGGCACCTTCATGATCTGCTGCAGAGTTTTCAAGTGTCAACTAAGTTTTCTCAATGGTTAGTGAGGAGGGGAGGAAGAGGGCTGCAGACATAAGGTAAAGGTCATGGGTTCAATCCCAGAGTGGGCCAGTTAGCTTCTGTTCTCCTCACACTCATGTGAATGCACAGACAAAGGATATTCCCTACAGCTGTTGAAATAGTGATAATTTCTCTTGCAACTGTGTGTGCAAAACCAGAGTCGATTTTCCATCTGGGTTCACTGGGAGTCTCAGCACTTCTGTGTGTCCCCTGGCCCCAGCTCCTTAGCCTGTCAGAAGGTGATAGAGAGGGATGGCCTTTCTCCTCCCACACATGCTCCAGGGATACGTCTCCTGTGCCCTGATTGTAGGAGTATGCCAGCAAGGCTGGGGGGGGTAGGGAACAAGGTAATTATATGCTTTTCCCCATTATTAAGCCTAACTTTAGGATATGGGGGATGGGTTGGGGGTGCGGGAGGGATGTGATATTACTTTCAAAAAGCCCTTTGCAATTGATTTGCATGGGTTCTTTCTTTGCAAATCGAGCAGCTTTCTGTTTTGCACATATACAACCTGGTTAACAGACACCCAATGATTACAAGGAACTGGGTGTAATTATAGTCCTCTAATCAGCAAAGGAAAAGCAAGATTGCATGATTCACCCATCTGCCTGCCCTTTCCCCAGCTCTTTAATCCCCTGTCTCAGAATCTCTGGTGCTGATGCTGCCTCCATCCACATGGATGAAAACATCTATGTTATTGTGGCTGAGGCCAGGGGCCTTTGAATCCAGTCCACCAGGTAAGCTTCCCAGTTTGGTCCAGTTTAAATTAGACTTAAATTAAATTAAATTAGAGAAGATTCTGATATGTTTGGGAAATATTTCTGCACAGAAATGAAAAGATGGATTGAGAAACAGCTCAGATTAGTGGAATAAACAATAGACTAGAAATTAAGAAACTTGAGTTTTAGTTCTAGATCTTTCACTGAATAAATCTGTCCACTTGGCAATCCAGTTCTGGAATTTTGGCCTCAGTTTCCCCATCTTAAAATGAGGAGCCTGATGGCCCTTCAAGCCTCTAACATTCTATTAACTCTAGATCCTACAGTTCCAAGACCCCAATTCCTCCCTCAGCCTGATTTCCTACTTACATATTCTTTCCTCCAGGGTGGGAGTAGGGATGTTAGCCTCAGCTGCCCCAGCTTGGCCCTCTTCCAGGGGGCAGCGTTGGTCATCCATCCGGTTGCTCTGAAACTTACTCAGTAGGTCAAAGAAACATTCCTCATCAGATGGGGCCCGTGGGATTTTCTGGAAAGAAAGGAGAGATGGAAGAAAAAGAAGGAAGAGAAGTCAAAATGGTAGAAGAGGAAGGGGAATAGATTTATATCCTGAAGAAAGCTATTCTTTCCACCATCTCTTCCATATCTCTCACTTGGGCTCTAGATAAGAGTCAGCTTTTTGTTGTTGTCGTCTCTCCCTTAGCACTTGGAACATATTAAGACTCAAGTAGTAGGTGTTCAGTAAACATCTACTGGTTAATCTATTTAGAGTTGTTTGTGAGTAGAACACTACTATTAAATGTTGGGAGATAAACTGAAATAAAGATATGGCCCCTGACTTCAAGTCAGACCAGGTCATGGGTTATCACCAGGAAAGCCAATACATTTGATTGATTGAAGATTTTATGCCAGTAGATAGGAAACAGGTGATGTGGGGAGAAAAGTGTTGGTCCTGAAGTGCCTGATGCTTTTTTTTTTTTACTTCTAGGCCCAGTCCCCTACCATGTCCCCGCATGTCTTTATGCTGCTCTATCCTTGTTCAATGTTGTGGACCAAAATTGGGTTGTGGGAAGTGAAGGCAGTAATCAGTGACTGGTGTAAATCAAATCTCCCCAATAATTCAGTACCATCCTGGATGACCTCAGGAATGTGAGCTAAAGTTAATTCTTTATTTTCTTGCTTGACTCCTAAGGGAGCATAAATCTGTGCATCTGTATGTTATGGCCAAAATCCATTCAAACATTTACTGAGTGCCAAATGGAGGAGAATTGGACAATTTGCAGATAGCTCAGGCCCAGCTTTCTCAAGTCAGGCATTCAGAACCAACCAGGGTATCATACCAAAATTCTTGGAAAGAAAGCTGATGGAGTACAATGCAAAGGCCAAGTTGCCTCTAACTTGTGATAAGCAGAACAAACAATTGGTTTTTCAATTGTTTTCAAGTGTCTGAAAGCAAGAAGCTTTTAAAACACTTCTTTGGTTGAGTCTGAAAAGTAAAGAAAGCCAGCCTGTCTAGTTCCAACTAGGTGAGGGTTTATCTTGTTTATCCTGTGCTGGACCTAAAGATTCTAAAGGTTTTGAACAGCACTATACTATTCTCTAAATTTGGTCCAGGTTTAACCAGATACTCTCAGTACATACTTCTGCATAAAGACTGTAATAGGACAAGTGATGAAAGCAGGATGGTAAAAGAGAGGCTGGATAGCAATTTTCATAGTATAGGAAACTCCTCCCTTCAACAGCATTGAGATAATGTGACTCACCCTGGGTCCCAGAGTAGCAAGCATCAGAGACTGCCTTTGTATTCAGGTCTTCCTGGCTTGGAGGTCAACTGTCTAGCCACCGTCCTGTGTTGCCTCTAACAGGGTTTATAAAGGGTCTGCAGGGGTGTGTGGGTGTGGGTGGGTGGAAAATGGCTCCCAGTAAACTGAAGAGGAGAGTATTAAAGGGTTGGAAAAGGAAAAAAAGAGGATGGAGAATAGCCATGCGTATGCACTGTCTGTGAAATGGATACTGACTTGGATCCCCAAATCTAATGTAGGGCTCTCCCTCTGTTTGATTCCTTCTCTGGCTAGCTACCCATTGCAGACAATAGAGTCCAGGACAGAAAATCTGATCCAGAACCTTCTCCAGAGAATCTGACTGCTGGGTACCATTTCTCTGAGGAACTACCCTTCCCCCAAACTCCTGTCCCTCGGGTTGCAAACGTCAGACTCACTAGCACCAAATTGTAGGTCTGAAAGCTTCTGTAAGGGAGTCCTAAATGACTACTGTCATATATTTAGTCTGGGCCCCTGGAAAAGCCACAGCTGCCAGCCTGACCAAACTGGACAGATCAGGGTTTTGAAGCCTCAGAAGCCAGCCCACCCTGGCCACAGAGAAGCCTTCAGGGGGTTCCAAGGCCCTGAGAAGAGCACTCCCTCCTACTGGAAGTTATCCTCCCTCCTACCTTCTGAAGGAGCACCTTTGGGTTGTCTTTAGAATAATACTCACTCACCAGTGTGAAAAACTATTTTTTCCAAAGCTTCCCTCAAAACTCTGCTCAAATGATGTCTCCTCCATGAGGCTTCTCTTCATCCTCCCAGTTGCTAATGTTTCTCCCCCTCCCCGATTCTCTCCAATCACTTAGGATTTATTTTGCATATATTTCTCTCTCTATATATTTTGTTTGCTATGTTGAAAGTAAGTTCCATGAGAGTAGGGCCAGTTTCCTTTTTGCCTTTATATCTTTAGAGCCTAGCACATGGTAGTCAATTAATAAATGCTTATAGATGATGGATGAGTGTTTTGAAGGATTGCTATCCCTGTTTTATAAATGAGGAAAGTAGAGAATAGAAGGAAGAAATGACTTGTCTAAGGACATGCGGCCAGGCCAGGACTAGAACCAGGGTCCTTTTCTTGTATTAGAGCTGGGAAGACCTTAGGCACTTAACAGTTGTGTGACCCTGAGCAACTTATATCTTTTTGTGACTCACTTGCCTCATCCATAAAATGAGAGGATTGGAAATGATGGCGTCTAAGGTCCCTTTTGGGGCAGCTGGGTGGTGCAGTAGATAGAATGCTGGGTCTGGAGTCTGGAAAGCTCATCTTCCTGAGTTCAAATCTGGCTTCAGACACTTATTAGCTGTGTGACCCTGGGCAAGTCATTTAACTCTGTTTGCCTCAGCTTCCAAATGGCAATTCATTCCAGTATCTTTGCCAAGAGAACCCCAAATGGGGTCAGAAAGAGTCAGACACAACTGAAATGATCAACAAGGTTCATTTCAGCTCTCTATGATCATTACCAAAAAAACTAGCTAGGAACTGATTCTGTACTGGGCTCATTACTCAGACCCTAACCTCAGAACAAGCCAAGGAGTCAAGTCTCAGGTTTCCCTTCTTAGCCACCCCCCAGGCGTCCCACCTAATGTAACAGAAGTAGAAAGCAATGTCTCCTGGTCTGACTCTGAGGATCACACCCTCTCTTCCCAGTTTTGGATGCCAACACTGAGAAAATATCACTTGTTCTTCCCCTAAAATGTATATCTGGGGCAGGGGAGATGAGAGAGGAGAGCAGGAAAGCAGATTCAGAAGAGAGCTGCTGCTGCTTCTGCTCTTTCTGGAGATCCCTTTTCTAAGTGCTCTCAGCCATCATCCTGACTGAGTCTATAAACAGAGCATTTCTGAGGGCCCTCAAGTCAGGGGTGGAGGGGGTTGCTTGAAGAAAGATAACAGAGGCTAGAAGGAACAGAGCTGGAGGCAGAAGCAGAAACAGGCTGGACTTCTAAGGTATGTCCTGATTGGGGGATTATTCTGGATTTTTTTTTTTTAAAGATCACAGTGTCTTAGAGAGTCACAGAGACTGGGAATTAGGAGACTTGGGTTCTAGTCTCCTTTCTGCTACGAATCTGCTGTGTGACCAGCCTTCCTCTCTCTGGGCATCAGGTCCCTCCTCAGCAAAATGAGATTTTTGGACTAGGTATTCATTAAGGTCTTCTCTGGCTCCAGGAGCACACTCTGTCCCATGGTTCATGATTTTTGAGATTTTAAGATTATATATAACATTCCAGGATTCTACTTCTCCTCAAGAGGAAAGACCGGGTGAAACTTCTTCAATCTGAAGAGATATTAACTGAGAAAGGCTAAGAGTGAAATCTAGAGATTAGGGAAGGGGAAGGGAATAAGCATTTATTAAGCACTTACTATGTGCTTGGCACAGCACTAACTTTGCAGATATTTCATTAGATCCTCACAACGAGGTAGGTACTGTCCTTATCCCCATTTTACAGTTGAACAAACTGAGGCAGAGGGAAGTTAAGTGACTTGCTCAGGGTCACACAATTAGTATCTGAGGCAGGATTAGTTTTCCCGATCTGAGGCTCAGCCCTCTAACCACTGCACCACTTAGCTGCCAGACATGGCTCCTTCCAAGTTACAGGGAAGGGGACCCGGTCTTAGGAGAATTAGGAGCCTCTTGCAACCTGAAGGAGGCAGTTTTAAAACCAATCACAAAGGGTGTCCTGCTTCTATTCAGCAAGGAAGAAACTTAGGAAACTAGTTCCCCAAGAGGTGAGACAGAATGGGAGTGTAAACAGGCTCCAGACAGGTTTAGGTAAATCCCTGGATGACAGATTCATGGCAGGTTATAATGAAAGTTTGGGATGTTTGGGGATGTCCCTAACATGTGTGATGGCATCTGGTGGGGATCCCAGCCTCCTGCAAATTGCCCCTTAGCTGGAATCAGGAGCTTGGCTTGGAGGGAGGGTGAGGCTGACCTCAGATGGCGTTACTCACATCCTTAGGATCTCCAGTTCTCCATATCCAAACAGTCCCGAAAGGTTTCCTTCCCCCTGGGGTGAAAGGCTGGGGCCACCTCCGCAAGCCCCGAATCTCTTGACCCACAGCCACCCTTTTGGAGGCACCAGGAAACTCCCTGTGCAACTAATCCCAGGGGAGGGACTGTACCAGAACCTGACCCAAGCAGATGGTGGCCTAGAGGGAAACAGAACCATTGTGAGGACTATCTATTTTTGCAGCGAAGGTCAAGGAGGAGTAGAAGCGTATTTTTTCTGACAGTGACCCTTAAAGAGGGTGTTTAGCCTGAAGTCACACTGGCTATTCCACTAGCCTATACCCCGTCTCCCCCCCAGCCCCAACCTACCTATGGCTCAATCTGACTGACTTGGATCCTTTCAAACTTAGGTTTAGATCCCAATCGCAAAATTTCCTGTAGCCCTTGAAATGGAAAAGATAGAGGAGGAGGTAATAAGCACTTCAGGAGTGAGGGAGTAAGTATTTATTAAGCGCCTATTATGTTCCAGGCACTGTGCTAAGTAAGCACTTTACAAACATCTCATTTGTGCTTCACACAACCCTAGACATGATTCCCAAGTTAAGGAAACTGAGGAGGACAGAGGTTAAGAGACTTGCCCAAGGTCACACAGCCAGTATTTGAAGCTGGATTTGAACTCTGGTCTCCCTGACTCCAGGCCTAGCACACTCTGCCATCTCTCTGCCTCTAAGACTGAGAATTGACCATGGTCACCAAAG